GTGTACACAACGCAAACATACACACGATGAAAAAAAAAATAAGTGATCCTTCACCGACAAAGGTGTGTTTAATATGATGCTTATAGATGCAGAAATTTATTAAGATGATTGCACTTTTTGGCACAATTGATATACACCGGTAAGCATGAATTTGCAATCTTCGGCATACAAATGCATCGGCTTGCGCGCTCGCTCATACACCAGCCCAAGAAAACAATGCTCCGTTTCAACTGATTATATAAATGCTTTAATAATATCTTCATGTGGCAAGCAAACATCGTAATGTATATAATTAATGTAATTTATGTAAATGAATACATCAAATCGAAATTTATGCGTTTGTGCGATTACAATGCATCTCGTTGTGCGCTGATCATTTGCAAAAGAAAGCCATTTTCTGCTTTTCCCTTCATTATTCGGTCAATGAAATTTGCGGTGATTTTTGCTGGTTTTTCATTTCATTAAACGACCTCCCAATAGACAACTCCATTTTTGTTTTCTTGAGGAAATTATTTTCGACTAGTAAACAAAGCCTTGGAAATCTATTGCAAATATTGTATTTTAATTGAGAAAACATGAGGCAACTGATGAAGATATTTTGACCAGCATTGCTCTTTGTTGGTCTATTATTATTGTACGATCACTAAACAGACAAAGATTCAAAGGTTCAAAGAATTTTGGTCGCGTTCATTCAGGAAATGACACGTTGGTGGTATATGGCAAATGTGGCAGCACTGTAGGGGTGATTCTTCAGGATATTAACTTAATTTTCGGATTTTTATTTGTTTGCAGAAGAACTTATAGCCAAAGTGTCAAGATAAATAGAGAATCAGTTCCAGATGTCACCCGAAATATGTAGAAAGAGCATTCATTCATGTGCGTTGATTGTTGCACATTTATTTGTTTTCATAGCTTATTACAGGAATGAAGTGTGGGTCGATTATTTGCCATCTGTATAATATTACCTTTGAGCCACACGTGTCGAAAATGCTCAAAGCAAAAGGAAATCGCTCTTGACTCATTGCAAATTTTGCGTGCATTCAATATTCCAAATCAATCGAAAACAATCACACGTTTTTTGTTTATCTCTTCTCTGCTCTTTATCTTGGGCATGTTTTGGCTTAGAACTTCTTACTTCAAACGCCACAAACAATTTGGATTGTGAAAACAATGGAAGAAGAATAACACAAAAACTCACCGCTTTTCTTTTTTTGGTTTATCTTTTGCGTTGAGTTTATTTTGGAACCGAAAAGTGTTTTTTGGGAGTTCTTTTGTGTGTTTTTCTTACAATTTTTTTTTCTTTCGAAATTGACGTAAAATGCTTTGTCTCGAGGTGAAAAACGAAACGAATATTTAATTTCACTTCATTTACGCCAACAAATATGTGCTAACCTTTTATTTTAGGTACGAATGAATGAAGGCTATTCGTCAATTCTAAACCGATTGCTTAGAACTATTTTTCAATTGAGGATACACGTGAAATTACGGTTTTGTACAAACTGAAACATGCTGTTTTCATTATGAAAACTCCTTTTCTTCAAGACAAAAAACGCAAATAAGTAAAAGAAGATGAGCCAAAAGAAAACCATTGCAGATTGCAACAGCTTTCGAAATAGTTCAATTACACAGTGTTTGGCGTGAGTCATATACACAATTTATCGCTTTGAGATACGCGTGATAAATCAGTGTGTGTTTTGTGTCTGCTTCTTTTTTCTCCTCGATATCTCCCTTTGTCTGTTGCGAATCTCCTGTCTTCAGCAGGCACATATATATCTTTTACACACAAAGAATATACCGAAATGCAAATATTTGGATAACGAATCAGCTTTTGTCACTTCCTTTTAGAGGAGATTCTTTGGTCATTCAAGAGACGAAAAGACGAATGATGAAAAAAAAAATGAGCTGAACGATCTTGCTGAACGTAAATTCGAATAATCCAAATCATTCATCAATAATCAATCGTTGACGGCATTCGATACGAAAGGATGAAATGAAAACAAAATCGATCGATGGACGTAATAACAAAAGTGGTTCTTCATTTTATTGACTTTGGTGTGATTATTCAAGTGAAAATATGAACTCGGCGCGCGGCTAAACAAGAAGAGAAATGAAACGAAACTCGCAGTCCAGCAAAAGTCCGAAATTAGCGAGCGCAAATTCTTTTGACACGGGCAAAACTATTTTGGTTATGTGGTCGTGCTGATTTGCAACGAATTCTTTTTTTTTAAAGATTCTTAGCGCCAACGAATAGAGAACAACGAAGCGTGTGGTATTTTTTGTCGGAATGGTTTTCCGTTTTTTTTTTTTTCATTTTGAATTCCTATTACATCGAGATTAATAGCTCATTCTAGGCACCGAAAAAACGGATAATACCGGCTCATCGCTCAACGAAGCTGCTGCAGTCGAGTGGCAGATGTTTGGAGAGATACGTAAAGAGAGAGAAAAAGAGAGAAATAAAACGAGACCATTTTCCACCGTTTATCCAGTTCCAACAATGTCCATATGAAAAACATATAAAAAAAACATTTTAATTTGTTAGCAACGAAAACGCAAATTGATTGCTTTTTTGAGCGTAAGCCGCTTTAAAATTTGGTTTAAATATTCGGGGCGTGTCATGACGCAATTATTCCAGTTTTTCTTTTTATTTCATCACTATTATGCGATGTGTGTGTACTTACCATTCAGTTGTCTTTTTTTCCGTTTTCTCTCCCGTTCGATGAACAGAATCAATGGCTGAACAGTGATCAGTTGGAATGACTGAAGAGAGGGATATTTAGCTAATTCCCATTAATATGGCGATGAGCCTATCACCATTACACACGGTAGAAGCTATATAACAAGCATTTGGCCAACGCTTTTGAGGGGTTAAAAAAAAATTGCTGCTGTCATTGCTACTTTAATAATAGGCTATCAATGCAATACTTACAACCGCACAACATACATTACTTCTTTCAAATGAACAAATAAAATAAATAATGATGCTCTCTTTTTTTTCCACTTCTTCTGGGGCCGCATTTGCCCTATTTTCATTCGACTCTGCATAGTAAGCAAAAGCAGTAAATGGCTTGGCACATACCGAACAAAGAAGCGATTTTTGCTGAATGAAAACTATTCACATGCATGTGTGAATGTGGCATACGCATTAATTGCTCCCAAAGTGCGGCGTGATGTGCTCGCCACTGAATAATACATTGAACATGTCATTATTTTCAGGTTGGACTGTTTTGCTCGTTCTCACAGAAGTGTAATTAACTAATAGGTTCAGTGATATCACATTGATGTTTTGCCATTTGCGATTCGCTCGCTACTACTACCATTTTATGAAATGAATCCTTCAGGCTCATTAGACAAATACTTTTTGAATGATTTCTTGGGAAGCATTTCAAAACGTTGAGCAAGAGCCCATTTCGGTTTCGTCGTCATCGTCAACGGGAAAAAATCGTTAATATTTCTCTAAACGTAAAAGACAAATATCACGCACGCTCGAAATACTCACAAAATCAAGCATCAAGCTGAATATTATACATTTTAACAGCCAAATTTGTTGCCATTTCAGTGGCACGTTTAGCATTATTCCAAAAATGGGCAGCCTTTGGCGTCGACAAATCTTCTGACGAAGAAACACCGAATACCTTTAATGAAATGAGAATAAATCATTTGAATGAAAAAAATTAATTTCGTACGCAAGTTCGGGTGAGTTGCGTTGAGAGAAAATCAGTCGCCATCGTTGTCGAAGCTGAAAATGGTCCCACTATAATTTAGTGTAGAACGTACAAAAGACTTATTGAAATTTAAATATGTTGAGCAGGCACATATTCATTTCAGTGTTATGAAAAATGCCTCCGAAAATATTGCCGAAAGGAATGCTAACAATGTAATACTCGGAATGATTGAAACTGAAGGTGATACGCAATCTGGCTATTGGTTATTCTTTCTTCATCGGGTTTTTTTTTTAATGAACAAATAAATTAAGTAACAATGCTCATCATTAAAATGGTTGTTTATTTGTTTTCATTTTGATAATTCGTGTGTGTGATCCGTACTGTTGCTGTTGAGCACGGAGAGTGAGCGCGTCAGTCAATTCAGGTACAATGTCGGTTAGTCATACATTGTGATCTGAAGATATTGCTGCTTAACCGTTGGCGTTTGCATTTGCGTTTCAAGTGTGTATTTAATATCAGTGGTTTCCATTTGCTAGCCAAGTGCCGAGAGATTGTGTGTGTGTGTGTGTGTGTGTGTGTGTGTGTGTGTGTGTGATCTGGTACACATGAGATCATACACAATAAATTGCTGTGTTGCTGTGTTGCTGCGTGGAGAGGAACACATTCAAATCCATTGATTATCCAATATACATGCATGCTGATGTGTTTTTCGTTCGTATGGATTCAGTAGTGTATTAATAAGTCATGTCAAGATGCTGAGAAAAATATAATTCAGCCGTTCTTGATTGATGAACAGATTAATCAATGCGATCAGACATAAAATAGCAAATCCAACAATAAATGCAACAATAGCGCAATCAAATAAATGTAATCATTTCAAGCAGTCAAAACACAGAGCAAGCAGGCAGGCAAGCAAGCCAGATCGATCGAATGGACCAAAAGAGAGAGAGAGAGAGAGAGAGAAAAGAGAAATATTGAAGGCATCAAGATAAAGGCAGCAGATTCGACGAAACAAACAAAAATATTGAATTATGTGGAAATTAACAAGTATGTTTTGCTTGTTAATGCGTCACGTTTGACGTCTTTGGTGTAGTTTATCATCATATATCTAAAGAAGCATATATTAATCATTGCAATGGCAAAAAATATGAGCATCAAACTGAGGCTGCAACCAGGTAAGCCACTTAAATGCCGATAATGTAACTCACCATCTTCCTTTGTCTTTCGATCCACCGAATGAGATAAATGAAATGCAGAAAAAAAAACAGATGTTTTCGTACGAAAAATATATATAAATTCCTTTATTTTTACTTCATATATTTTTAATCGAAGAAGTCTTTTGCATTTTACGTTTCAGTTTTGTTTGCGTTGGTTGACAAAAGTGAGCACCGAACAAACCATCAATGCTCTCGTGTGTGTGTGTGTGTGTGTGTGTGTTTGTATGTGTACTAAAACAATCAACGTACAAAGAATATCGAATTACCTTTTCGAAATGACACAATTTGTACATTAGAATTATTAAGTGGCAGCAATTATAATGCTATTTATAGTCTCTATCCGATACTTATTGTTCTAGCGCGTTAATTCTTTTTCAAAGAGACCTTGTGACCTTACTCTTAATTACTAAGCAGTGTATTTGTTCAATCACAATTTTTTTTTTTTTATAATTTTTTGAAAAATTTCGCCTTTCGAGATACTTGACACATAAAAATTGTCTCTGTCGCTTGTCGTTCAAAACAATTTTCTATGGGAAAATAAACAATAACGCCATGCAATAGTAAAATTGTTAATCTGAAACTAGATCATGCTAATAATTCTGGATGAATAAGATTTTGTAGTCGTTCATAAATAAAAATTCAAAATGACACACCAATTCTTATTAGAATAGACAAGAAGCGTTGTCTTGAAGAAAAAAAAACGACACTTAAATTTAAAGCTCTTCGAAATACTAAAATTGTATGTTTTGACCTAATCTCTAGACATATTATATTTGTATTGTGAGGAATGTGTGTTTGCTTAGTCTAGTGCTGCAATTAATTCTACTTTTGTAGCGGTCACGAGATCCGATGCGGTTGCATTCCGTGCGATCGGTGTTGTATCGCTCCCTGTGCCGGCCAAATTGTGTGTCAAACTGTGACGCCTTAAATCACAATTCCTTCTGAACACTTTGCCACATGCTGAACAGTGATATGGTTTGATGTCGGTGTGAGTTAGGAGGTGCGTTTTTAGATTTGATCGTTGATTAAAACTGCGGCTGCAGATTGCACATTTATGTGGCGATTCATCGAGGTGAAGAATCTTATGCACGGCCAACGTTCTCGATTGACAAAATCCCTTGCCACATTCGGTACATTTGAATGGCTTCTCCTTCGAATGTATGTATCTATTTTCAGGGAAAAAAAAAGAGAAACAAATGTGAGATATAGACAGAAAGAAAACATCATAAAAATGAATGATTATCGACAGAAACACCGAAAAACGCATGATTATGTTAACTAATTGGGGAACATTAAAAACAAAAAACAGAGAAGAAAAAACTAAATAGTTTTAATCGATCACATCGAGCAGAGATAAAAAAAAGGGGAACAAATCATACGCGTATAAACTAGCTAAACAAATAATCAACAAATTATTATGTATTGTTGTGTGTATTCTATGGAAAGAGACGAAACATGCTTGCCGACGGCAAACCATAAATTATTCCTCATGCTGTTCGGATCGATGGTCCGTTTTTTCACTCTACGCGGTCGAGCTTTGCAGGAGAATGGGGGAAATGAAATGGAATAAAAGACAACTTCGACGCCGATAAGAGAAATGACACAAACTTGATTTTCGGTTTTTGTGTCGAACTTCAGAAGAATTATGGCAATGAACCGACTTTTAAACATGTTGTTCAAATATTTATTTAAGTGTGTCTTCTTATGCTTATTTTGCTCTTTTCCTTATTTTTATGTCAATAAATTATGAAACAATTTAAATGTTAAAAAGATAGACAAAACCGAACAAAAAAAAAAGAACCGAGAGAAAAGAAGAAAACAGCTGAAAGCAAAGGTGTGAACACGCGGAACAAGAAGAAAGAAAATTTTCATCGGAATTGTGATGATATTTCATAAAAATAAAATAACAAAAAAAAAATGAAACTGATAACCCATTGAGCGCGCCGTTCAAGTGGAATATTAAATAAAATCAAATGGAGAGAGAATCCTAAATGCCGTTTTGTTGTTGCTCCGAATCAAACAAAAGAGAACAATGCAATTGAGAAAATGAAAAGTGGAGAAATGATGATGGAATATAATCCAAATGCCAATTGAATTTACTCATAATATCAAATGATTGAATCATAGGAGAGCAGAGCAACATAATATTGATTGAAATTCCACTGACGCACACAACTCTCGATCGATAAATCAAAACCTCAAGCACCAATTAGCACATCATTGCGTGTGATACAGTTTGAATATCAATTACACAAATTTGATACGTATCAATTACCTGTGGTCTCTCAGGTGATCCTGTCTTCGGAATGCTTTGTTGCATATGTCACAGGAATAGGGCCGTTCATCAGTGTGTGTTCGTTCGTGTATTAGCAAATTGTATGACTTCGTGAAATGTCGACTGCAAAATTTGCATATAAATTGCTTCTTCGGACGTGGCATTGTTCCACTTAAAGTGGTGATCGTTTCAGTTGGTGAGCTCAAATTCGATCCCTGTGAACTAGATAGCTGCTTTTTTGCACTAATTTGTGGACTGTGTTCAGTGTCGACGACCGAATGTTGTAGTAATTCATTTCCAAACTGCTGAAAATGGCCATTGAATAATAAATTGGATAAACCGTTGTTTAGTAAATTGATCGAGTGTTCACTGGGCGAATCAAGTGTTGTATCAAAGGCGAGATCATCGTCAGCATCGAGAAGTGGCAGATCATTGGATTTATGAACAATATCAATACCTTGACCATCATCAAGTAATGGGTTTATATACGATTGTTCAATAATTATCGAGTCATTATCAGCTGAAGTGTCTAGGTTTTGATTTCGGGCGGCAGCTTTTGTGAGTTGGAGAACATCTGCTTTGCTCATGCGTTGCAATGCCAAATAGTATTCTAGCGCTTGATAGCTCAGTGCAGCTTGTTGAAGGGTAGACACCATTGTTCCTTGTAATGATAAAACGTAAGCAGCTGCGGCCAGTTCGCCAGAGGGTGGTGTTGATAGCGTTCGAGACGGGCTCATCGATGATACCTTGGTATTTTTTGTTGTTGTTGTTGCTTTTGTTGTTGTTTGCGGTGATAGCCTAGCGGCTGTCGACGATTCCATCATGGGAGATTTCCAGTGAGTTGCGGGCAAATGCAATAAAATTCTCGTTAGACTTTTGTTTCTTCTATCTTCTTCTGAACGCGATCGAAAAACTCATTTACTGAAAAACACACAGATGATCTCTCTCCTTCTCTTTCTCTCGGCGAGTTTCCAATTCTCTTCGTGATGTTAGGAATTTCAATTTTGAATTTCACAATTCTTTTCGGCACACCAAACGGTTCTATATTTGCATAAGCAAATTGATTCTGTGTTTCAATTAATGGATTAATTTAAAATGATCAGTCTTTCGTTTTATGTTTTGATTTTTTGAAATGAACTTTGTCACTCAGCTCAAACTAAAAAAAAAATAAAACTTCACAATTTGAATATATCGGAACAATGAAATTTTTCACTATTTTTTTTTCTTTGTTAAACAAAGCAGCAGCAAATTTAAACGATAAAAAAGCGATTGTTTCGCAACGAAAACTGTAACTGACGATAAAGTGCATGTGATACGTGCGTCAGAGACGCAGTATTAACAAAGTCCACAAAGCAACTAAACGGGCAGTATGTTGAATACTATCGCGGACCTGCTGCCCTCTACATACACACACAATTTTCGTATACGTATATGAACCACCGATCCGAAATGGTGAGACGGTGCACAAACGAATGGAAACCCAAATGAGACTGTAGATGTGTGGCTGCTTCACATGCAACAGCACAACGATCACCTTCTTGAGTGAGTGAGCGAGCTTGCGCTCACCTACCATACCAAAACCCGTACACGCTCACACACCAAAACCAAAACCAAAGCAATCCGAATGAATGATGGAAATGGATAAAGAGAGAGAGAGAGAGAGACCACGATCACGGAACAGAAATGAATACAACGAAAAAAGAACATATCTTTTTACATTTGTGAACTCAAGAAACAACCTGAAAATTCAGGTAACAAATACACATTTTATAATTCTCTTGTAGTCATTTCGTGTCAAAACGAAGACGTTAAGAAACTGGGAGACGGAAGAGAAATAAAAGTAATCTCTTGAAGCACGAATACACGAAAAGCAAGTTTCAAGCATCGATCCAGTCTCACTCTCTCTCTCTCTCCCTCTCCCTCCCTCCCTCTCTTTCTCTCTACGTAGGAGATGCTCGAAATGCGATTTTTTTCCGCTTCGTTTCGTATTTTTCTTCATTTTTTTTTTATGTATTTGCATTTGAATGTACGTTGATTTGGTTTTTGCTGTGACAGCGCAGTCGGCGTGTGTTAGTCCAAACAATGTTTCTTCACTTGCATTTGCTGCATGGGCCAAATAACAAAAACAAAATTAAGGGAAGGCGCGCGCAACTCAAGACAACATTTCACATTCAAGGAAAATGTGTTGCTGTTACAGTTAATAAATGTTTAATGCATCACGCTTCGAAATGCATTATCGAGAACATTTCGGATTTGCGATCGTGTCGATGCAATTTTTTTCCGCCTGCAATCTCTTTCTATACTTGATATTGAAACTTGATACCGTCTGCAAACAGCCTCGAATGACATATTGTCATTCGCAATTAAAATGTAAAAACTGCATTAAATTTTTATAACGTATCAATTTTTACAACAAACTTGATGACCCATCACCGTTTTTTTATGTGGTGACACGCGGCACAAATATTATCTAACTTTTGACACTGCTCAGCCATTTAATCAGCAATAAAAAAAAATCTATGAAAATAGTATTAGTTTTCAACGAAATCATGTTGCGATAATTGTTTTATAACACGAAAATTCTTCGATGATAACTGTGCGTCAAAAGGTTGACATATGAACATCGCACAAGAACAATATACCACCCACCCAAAAGATCACACTCAACGAAGTTATTAAATCAAATTCGACTCATTTAATGAACACTTTACGAACGAATGCAATAAAAATTGCGTCAACATAATCATTCTGAGGAAGTTTGGCATTCAGAGTGTGTGTGTATGCAGATCATTTGAGCGGCACATCGAAGATTGAAATATGGGAAGAAGTTGGAGAGAGCGACAAAAGTGAAGCATTCTTTTGCTACACACGTCGAGTACGAATGCTGAGCAGAATGCCGATTTCGTGTTCACATGATGGAAAAAGAAGGTGATCGGTTTCATAAAAGCATCCAATTTAAGTGATATGTCATGGCTAATTTTCTGCTCGCAGACTTTTTCTGTGCTCGGGCAATGAAAGCGCGCGCCCGCACAACTCCATTCTTCTTGCCAGACGCATTTTACTTAAATAAATCTAACTAGTAAAATTGAAACGCGTTTTTTTCCTCTGTGCCGTAAATTATTATTATTCTTACCAAATTGGCAATTTTACGAATGTGTAAAAATAAAGAAAGCAAGAGATAATCAAGCAATCGACATAATCGCATGCATATTTCACGGTAAGCCATTGTCATACTACGCAAACAACAACAACAACAACAAATACCCTGGCAAAAACGTGAGAAAATAAATCGTGGTAGACTTTATTTTTTTTCCTTTCGTTCTTTCTTACAGATGGAATAAAACGAAATGGACAAACGGTGAAGTGATCACCGAGCATCTTGAGCAATTACTCGCCAAAATTGTGTTTTTAGGTGCGTTGAACACTACTTTGAAGCATCGTAACACACGCACTCAGATAAGAATGCAAACACTTTCGAAAGAAAAACCATTTTCAAAGCATAATTTTCATAACCGCATTATTTATCTATACAAAAGATGTGATAAAATAGCCAGGAATTTGACCAGGCCATATGGCCGTGTAATGATAATAATAATGATCTGTTATTGTGTACCTGGCCGAATGGGGAATGCGAACGAAAGGTTTGCGTGATTGGTTTGACCGGGCGCGGGGTGCAGAGAACACATGTGAAATGTGAGCCAAGAGACAGAGAGATCCCTTTCATCTGGGCCATTTGTTCATCTGTCATCTTTCGTTTAGAACCTCTACTTTGAAATGTAAATAAAACGGAACGATTTTGTGATTAGTAACATGTTGCTGTTGCTTGTCCAAACGAAAATGAAATTATTCGGCTTGAGGTTTGAAGTCGTCGCATGCAACAAGACTGATTCAATCAAAATAAAATGATGGAACATGATCGTTGTGTGATCGTCGAAGGTGCAGTTGTTTAATAATCAATTCATGTAAATATTTTAATGAAACGATTTCTGAATAATCTTGTTAACAATTGATTATTTGATGATTAGGCGACTGAATTTCATCTTTTCGGAGTCCACTTTTCATATTCATCTTCTTCTTTTTTTCTAAATGAAAGAGAAAAAAAAAAGAGAAATGCGAATACAATTCTGCGCGTGGCTACATGCTCAACATTGTTTCATCAATGTTATATCGTGTCAAGCGGGTTTGCTCTTCGACTAATTTTGCATCAACATTATAATTTTCAATGCAAAAAACCAAGGTGTGGCATTTTCCCTCTCTTTCATATTCTGTTCTTTCGTTGCAGTTTCTTTCGATGGATTTTATTCTTTTTATTTTTCTTTCGAGTCTTGTTGATCTCGTCATCCTCCTTTACTTTAGCTTCATTCTTCGACTCTTGTCTCACTTTTCCGTTCAAGTGTGCAAGTCTCCTTGCGCATTAGTTATCTGCATGAAGCACTTTCATACCGGGTGTGTGTATTGAACAGAATCATCAGACATCAATTCAAATCTAGTAACACTGAACGAGCAAGACGCACAGAGAACGAAATTTTTTTTTTAACAAACAAAACAAAGACGCGAACAAAAAATTGCGCAAACCAAAGTGTCAATGGATCTTTCTTCTTTTGGTTCAACAGAAAGTTGGCTTTTTTTTTCGGTGCAGCACGTTTTAATTCAGCGCCCGTAATCCATAATTTCAATAAAAATCAACATTATAAAATTGCATTTAACAAGACATGAGCATTTCGATAACAGAATTTATATCGGCTTTCAGTGGACGCTCGCATTTACGCAACGCAAAGATTCATTTGAGCGTTGTTGAGTTGATTCGTTTTGGTTGTGCTTTCAGCATTATTTCGTTTTTCATTCTTTTTTCTGCATTGGCTTTACGCCCGTTCGTCTCGCACTTAAAGAAATAAATTTCGACGCCTCGCTTATCGGTTAAAACACCAAGTGCAACTTTAAAATGCTCACAACAGTCTACATATGTAATGCAAATGTTGTTGATGTGTGTGTGTGCAATGTGCATATCAATTGCTTCACGTGCCATACTATTCGTATTCATTCGCGCTTGCTCACCAATGCGCGAACAGATTAAGAGAAAAAAGAAAACGGCCAGCAACAACACATTTTTAGCATTGGTAATTTGTACAAGTCTTTTAACGATCGGTGGTCTTGCATGTTTGTCATTCTTGTAGAAAAATTAAAATGTCCCGGCCGTGTTCATTCGCCAAGCGGATTCGTCGACAAGAATGTCGTTTTCAATTCTAGTTCCACATTTTGAAATTTATGAATGATACACTATCTCAATGTGCAATGTGCGATGCACATTGCACACGCGGGCCCCGGTGGTGAAATGGTCCGAAACAGCCTACGCCAAATAAACGACCGATGACCGCATGAACTTGATGTAAATCTAGTTTTTATTACAATGAACCAGTCTCCGAATCTCGTCTTCTTTTCCTTCAAACGGCGTTTTCTGCTTCGGTTTTTTGTTTTCATTGGCCAAACCATTGTGCAAATGCATGTTTCATATTAAATTATAGTACATTCAATTGACTGTTTTATAAACACAAAAACCAAACATGCATAACACTTACGGAGTAATAATTCTTAAATGCTATTTTTCCAGCATTATTCATCGCCGTTGCGATCGGTGCGCATGAGAATCGCTCGAGGGCTACTTGGCATCTCTAACTCGACCCAAGCATATATTTCTTGCAGAAATCTATTATAGATACACTTGGGTGCATTATGAAATATAAATTATTTATTGGAGAAGCAAGAGAGGGACGATGGCTGAATATTAAAGCCGAGGCTTCATTTATTTCTTGGAGCATTTACTTCTGTAGTGTACGTACAAGATTCATAATTAAAAAATCTCCATCATTTTCTCACAAAACCTGATGAACTATCAGCGAAGGGAGGCTTTCCTGCAAACCAAGTTCACTTCGAGCCAAGTTGTTCGCATATTGAATTATTTGAGTTTTCATTGTTACCAATTCGTGGTCAATTTATGAGGATGGAAAAAACAATGTATGTGGCCACATTTGCCGTGTTTACATAACTTTTATGGTCTAATATACACGTAAAAATTGTTCTCTAATTTAGACACTCGCCAACAAAACGCTCAACTTCACACTCAAACAAAACCTGCCAATCACTGATTGGGGTTTTGTGTGTCGGTTTCTAGCATTTTGAAGCTTGTTTATTTTTTTAAATATTTACCAATCGATTCTCTTTTTATAGGTGCTGGCAAAACAGATAAAGAATCATCGATAAGAATCTTTGGTTATGTGAATTTCTTTTCATTTTTTTTTTTTTTTTGAACAAGCCGAATGCCATAATGTCGATACCACAAAAACCAT